ATAAATTAAGGAAACTAAAGTTTGATATAATTTGTCTACAAGAAGTACATATTAAAAAGCAACATGAACAATTGTTATTACAACCAAAATTAGGGAAATTGTTTACCTCTTTGACTCAATGTAAGAAAAGAGGGGTGGTCTTATATATTAAAGAGGTTATTCCAGCAAAAATGATTTATACAGATGATGATGGGAGAATATTAATGGTGGAAATAATGGACAATAATAGAAAGATACTTTTGACTGCAATTTATGCCCCGAATGATAAACAGGAAGAATTTTATAAAAAATTACATACTAAGATGGCTGGACTGGACTATGCTAATATAATTATGATGGGAGACTTTAATGGAATTGTGGATAATAAACTTGATTATATTGCAACAGCAGCAAAGTATAATAGAAAAACTCTTTGTTGGGTATATGGATACACCAACTAGGTTTGGGTGAATAAATATATGAACCTAGGTTTAAGTGTTTGTAGCTTTAAGCACCAAACTGCAATGTAATTGGATAATTAAGGGTGCGGTTGCAAGCTGCAATAAAGGGCAGTGAGAGTAACGTAACACTTCCTGGCTGGTTACTGGTTCCTGGCCTGGTCCCTGGTTCCTGGTCTCTCTGCTCTCTGCCTGCCTGCTGTTTACTACTGTATGAGACGTCTACTTGTTGGCTACTGTGCCTGATACCGTTTCTACTGAACAAAAGGACTGTTTACTTGGTGAGCTGATATCCTGCGAATACTCAGCGTTGTCTTCGAGAGAAAGGTATCGTGAGGAGAAGATATACAAGCAGATAAAGACATTGTACTGAATAGTTAATGAACTAAGTTACTGGATGGATATATTGGATGATTACATATGGACTGAATGACAATGCTTAAACTCTGTGTGAATTAAATAACTATTTAAAACTACAAACAGTGTTTTTGTCTCCAGTGTGTGTATACTCTTGGGCCCAGCCTCTCTCTCATTTGGCTGCCTGGCTTGACTGCTGCTGTGCACTCTGCTTGGGGGTTTGTCCCCAAACACTAACATTCTTCCTAAATCTTTTTTTAAAATGACAGAGGAATTAACTCTAAAAGACATATGGAGAGAAAGAAATGTTAAACTTAAGCAATATACTTTCTATTCAAATAGACATTTATCATGGTCCAGACTTGATATGATTTGGATATCAACAGACTTAATATCTAGCGTTCAAGAAGTAAATATTGAAACAAGTACTTGGGCGGATCATAACCCATTGACAATTAAATGGAAGGGACAAAAAAAAAGATCGAGATGGACGTTAAATAATACTATTTTAAAGGAGAAAGAATTTACACAATGGATGGAGAAAGAACTGGCCTTTCTCTTTAAAGAAAATAGAAAAGAAGACACTTCAATACAGAATGTTTGGGATACAATGAAGGCTTATGCCAGAGGCTTGATAATTGACTATACAAGAAAAAAGAATATTAGGAAAAGGCAAGCTTTCAAAGCCTTGGAGGATGAATATAAAAGACTCGAAAAAGAACTGCAGAAAATGCCACAGAAAAAAGACGTTAAATTGAAACTGGATATAACTAAACATAAAATGGACTTAATAGACAAAGAAGAACTGGCACAGAAAATTAGGAGTGCCAAACAGAATTATTTTGAAGATGCAAATAAGCCAGGTAGATGGCTAGCATATAAACTGAGAAAAGAGAAAGAGTCGAGGAAAATATTGCAGTTAATAGATGACCAAGGTAAAACTTGTCATGGCAACAAAGAGAAAAAAGAAATTATTTATGACTTTTACAAACATTTGTATAAAAAAGAAGATATTGATGAGGAGAAAGTTAAACAATACTTGCAGAATGCAAATTTACCTAAGATACCTAAAGAGATTGAAGAAATGTTAGGAAGCAATATAACAATGATGGAGTTAAGCCAAGCACTTAAGAAACAAAATAATGGAAAGGCACCAGGTCCAGATGGGTTTCCTGTAGAATTTTATAAAACCTTTCAAGAATCATTGTGTATTCCACTGTTAGAAGTTATGAATGAAGTTATGCTAAAAAAGATAATACCTAAAACATGGTCAGAGGCTTATATTACACTTATTCCAAAAGAGGAGGCGGACCTACTTCAAATCAAGAATTATAGACCGATTTCCTTATTAAATGCAGATTATAAAATTTTTGCTTCAATATTAGCAGAAAGACTTAAAAAATATCTGAATAACTTTATCCACTCAGATCAAAATGGATTTTTGCCAAAACGACAAATTAGAGACAATATGAGAGTAATTCTGGACACCTTGGAATATTATGAGGCGCATCCTGAAAAGCAAATGGCTTTGATATTTCTAGATGCTCAAAAGGCATTTGATAACGTAAATTGGAGATTTATGTTACTTTTAATGGAACAGATGGGCTTTGCTAGAAGATTTATTCAAGCAATAGAAGCAATTTACAATGAACAAACAGCTAAGGTAATGATGGAGGGAGAACTCACCGATCCTATTAATATAAGAAAAGGCACAAGACAAGGTTGCCCTCTTTCTCCCTTGTTATTTGTATTGACTTTGGAAGTGTTGAATAGAAATATCAGAGAAGATAAAACTATAAAAGGAATGAAAATTAAAAAGGAAGAATTTAAATTACAAGCTTTTGCAGATGACCTAGTCTTTATTCTGGAAGACCCTATAGAAACAGCCTTGAAGCTGTTGGAAAAGATAGAGGCATATGGGGAGGTGGCCGGTCTGAAAATAAACAAAGATAAAACAAAGATTTTGTCAAAGAATATGTTGCTGAGACAAAGAGAAGAACTGGCAGAATTGTTAAAAATTCAAGTTACAAATAAGGTCAAGTATTTGGGGATATACTTGACGTCAAGATGTAGTACATTAAAGGAGAACAATTATATTAAACTTAAACAACAGATAGCTCAAGACTTGAAAAAATGGGAAAACCTACAATTGTCATTAATAGGAAGGATTTCAACAATTAAGATGAACATTCTACCCAGAATTTTATTTTTGTTTCAAACAATACCAATTAGGCTTGGAAAAGAATATTTTGAGGATTTAAATAAAATTGTTTTGAAGTATATATGGCAAGGCAAGAAAGCAAGGATAAAGTTAAAGCTTTTACAGGATGCTAGATTTAGAGGAGGGTTTGGCCTGCCTAATTGGGAGTTGTACTACCAAGCTGCAAATTTGATGTGGGTTAAAGAATGGATAACATTAAGGAAAACTAGATTGTTGACATTAGAAGGTCATGATTTGTTGTTGGGTTGGCATGCTTTTTTATGGTATAAGGGAACCAAAACACAGGGGTATTTTAGAAGACATTATATACGGGAGTCTCCGTGGTTAAATTGGGAGAAGACAAGAAAACAATGTTATTTGAAAATTCCAGTTTGGTTATCGACGATAGAAGCGTTTTCTTACCCTATAATTTATAAAAAGGAACAAACAGTTAGCTATGGGGAATTACTAGATGAAAAGGGTGAACTTAAATCGATGCAAAAATTAGAGGAACAAGGTATACAGATGAATTGGTTTTCATATTTGCAAATACATTCAAAGTATTATGAGGATTCCAAAGCAGAGGGATTTTATGATAAACAAACTGATTTAGATAAGATTTTGATGGGTACTGATGAAAAGGTGATTAAAAAATTATATGGTTACTTATTGGAAATTAAGTTGGAGGAAGAACAAGTTAAAGAAACTATGATTGCTTGGGGGAGGAATTTTGGATATGGGATTGACTTAGAGAAATGGCAGAAATTATGGTTGCAAAATTATAAAATGACAATGTCTACAGCCTTTAAAGAAAATTTGTATAAGATGTTTTACAGGTGGCATTTTCCTCCGACAAGGATAGCAAGAATGTTCAAGAACAAATCCGAAAAATGCTGGAAATGTCATCAGAAACCTGGTTCATATTACCATATGTGGTGGACTTGTGAGGATGCTAGAAAATATTGGACTAAAATCCACATGTGGCTGGAAAAAATGACAAAGAAGCATATAGATTTGAAACCGGAGCTTTTTTTACTGGGAATTTTACCAGATGCTTATAGTAAAGAGCTGAAATATTTGATTGTAAATGTATTGACTGCGGCTAGGATTGTATTTGCAAAAAATTGGAAAAATGAGAAAATTCCATTGCAGGAAGAAGTCATAAAGAAAATATTGGAATGTGCTGAGATGAGTAGATTGACTTTTGAAATCAGAGAGCAAGAAGATAAACAATTTTATATAGTTTGGGATCTTTTCTATCAATGGTTGAATGATGAAATACAAAAATAGAAATGTTAGATAATAAGGAATAATATTGATTCTATTTTTCTTTTCTCTTTTTTGGTACTGGATATTATATTTATATAATATTTTTCTGTTTCTTTTTTTCTCTCTCTTATTTAGGATAGAATTGGCACGATTATATGATTTGTTTTAGAATAAATTACTTAAAATATAGTTATCTCACAAAGGCATGATCGTACAAAAGTCTAGTCAAATTTCTTTTTTTAATAGTGATATTATGATTTATAAGTTTGTATTGACAATAAGAGTTATTATACAAGGTAATTGTAATTGTGACTATGAGATGAGTGCACAAAACTGATGAACCAACCGACTCACTGTTTGTATATAAATATGGGGGAGCTGATGTTTTTATGTTTTGTCTGTTTGTTTGTATGTCAAAAAACAATAAAAAATCTTTGGAAAAAAAAAAACAACTGGAGGAATATTTTTTTATGACAGGGCAAATTCCTGGGCCTTCCAGGATGGAGCGCGATTCAGTGCCCTGCCTGTGCCCCCCTCCAATCCCAAACCACTCCTCAAAAGTTCATGGAGCGGCCAGACCCCAGCACTGTCTGAGGGAGGCCTTGGGCCAGTCCAGGTGACATGCAAGTCAAGAGCCCATTGGAGCCACCTCCACGTTTTGACCCAGAGAGACCCGGCTCTCTTCACACCCCGGCGCTCTCACTGTCTCTGGCCCCCCTTCCAGGAGAGGTGCTCACCTTCAGGATGAAGTCAGGGGGGGTTCCCGGCCGGACGGTGGGCCTCAGCACCCCGTCATGATGCGAGTGGATCAGGGTCTCGTCCAGATCCAGGACGAGAATCTTCCTCTTCACCTGATCTGCCAGAGAGAGAGGGGGGAAATAGGGGGCAGGTGTTTTCTCTTAATGGCTTTTTTACAGCAGGGGAGTCCTTGACTTACGACCTGCGGCTGTCGTAAATATGAGTCTTTTGGCAAGCATCTGAATTTGGACCATGTGACTATGTAGGCGGCGGCGACCGTCGTAAGTAGGAGTCGGCTGACAAGTGCCTCAATTTTGGCTGCATGGGGATGCTGCAACAGTCCTAAGTCTGAAGAGCGGCCGTAAGTCATTTTTCCCCCCAATGCTGTTGTAACTTCGAACGGTCGCTAAATGAGCTCCCTGCCTATGGTGGGGTTTTTTTTAAAGTTTGGAAGCTCACGTGCGAGTTGGGAAGCTGTATACATTTGTTTGATCAATAAATTATAATGGGGGGGAAGAGACAGAAGGCCCAAACACACCCCCAAAACCCCCAAAGCCCCTTCCAGCCCCTCCAAAACCCCTCCCAAAGCCCCCCCAAACCCCAGTCCCCTCCAAAATCCCAAAGCCCCTTCCAGCCCCCCCCAACCCCAAAGCCCCCCCCCCCCACACAGTGATCCTCTGAGAAAGGAGAGCATACATACTCAGCCGTTCTCGCGAAACCCGGGAAAGAGGCAGAATATCGTAGCGCACCGTTTGATACTGGATCACCTGCCGGCAGAAGACACAACAACAACAAGAGGGTTGGGACTGTGGCAACAGGCTGGGAATCCAAGTGAGGGCCTGGAAGGCCCAGGTCGCACCCAGAAGCAGCCATGGAGGGATTCAGGCCAGGATCTGGCAGCTCCGTAAACCCCGACAATGCAAGGAAGGCGGATACAGTGCCGCAGGGCCGAGACTCCTACGTCGGGGTTTCCCTGAGCGGCCACAGAGTCTTCCTTGCTTACTGACATGCACGTGAGAGAGAGAGGGAGGAAGTTACAGGTAGAGTTACCTGTAAGGGGCAAGGGGAAGGGCCACTGTTATGCCACATGATGCAAGACAGGAAAGAGAGAAGGAAGGAGGGAGGGAGGGAAGGGAAGGAGGGAAGGAAGGAGAGAAGGGGAAGGAAAGAGAGAAGGGAGCGAAGAAAGGAAGGAGAGAAGGGGAAGGGAAGAAAGAAGGGAAGGAAGGAGAGAAGGGGAAGGAAAGAGAGAAGGGAGCGAAAGAAGGAAGAAGGGGAAGGGAAGAGAGAGAAAAAAGGAAAGAGAAGGGACTGAAGGAGAGAAAAGGAAAGAAGGAAGAGGAAAGGAAAAAGGAAGGTAAGGTAATGAAAAAAGAAAATTAAAGGGAAGGGAAGGGAAGGGAAAGGAGAAAGATAGACAAGGGAGGGAAGGAGGAAGGTAAGGTGAGAAGGAAGAAAGATAATAGAAACAGGAGAAAAAGGAAGAAAAAAGGAAAGAGAGAAAGGAAAGATGATGAGAAAGAGAAAGAAGGAAGCAGCAGCCTGTTATTACAGTGCCAGCCAGGTCTTATCTGCAGCATGGATCCAAAATGAATCCTTGCAAGCTTATTTGATATACAAAGGTCAATAGAAGCATCCAAAAATTGAGGTATATGTGTATAATATGGGGTTTCAATAAGAAGAGAATGTTTGTACCTGGGGTTGAACTATGCTTGGTTGTTATTCTTGAAGACTTCATAACTCAACTAGGGAACATCAAGGTTGTGGGCTCCTTGGTGCTCTCTGAGCTGGATGGTTTCCTTGGAAACATTTGGGGAGAGGAGGAGGAAGAAAAGAAGGGGAGGAGGTTGGGGTCCTTGATGGTTTCTGAGCTTGGTTGTTTTCTTGCAGACCTTTTATGACCCAACTAGGGAATGTCATCAGTGCTAGAAAGGGTGGAGGTGTGCTCTCTGTTTATGTAGTAGTAGCTCTCCCTGCCAATGTTGGTGGGAGCATTCTTGGGAATTCCTATCCTTCAATTAGGAGGTGCTCACCAGTAATCAGCACCCCATAAGGAGAAATTAAGCCCAGAATTAGAACTACCAAGTAGTACACAAGACTCTGATCGAAGAACTATCAACTCAAGCAAACAGTCAAATAGTAAAAATAGCCTAGTTAAGGAAGCACCAAAACCACTTCTAACACTGACAGGACAAACCAACTTCGATATAAATGGAGAGGAAACCTTTGTAGCGCTGATGGTCCCTAGTTGGTTCATGAAACATCTTGAGGAAAACCATCAAGCAAGGAGAGTACCTCTCCAGTCCTCCTCCTGCCCTCCCTCTCCCCCTCCCATCCTCTTGTCCACAAACCCCACTCCCTCCTAGAACAGATGAGGTTCCCTAGTTGGGTCATGAAACGTCTCTTGAAGAGAACAACCCAGCTCAGGAAGAACTAGGATCCCACAGACTTCCTTCTTCTCCACCTCAAGCCCCTCTGCCTTCTAGCACTGATGGTGTTACCTAAATGAGTAATGAGACGTCTGCAAGAAAAACCACCAAGCTCAAAGAGCACCAAGGACCCTACAATCCTCCCCCCCTCCTCCTCCTCCCTGTTTCTCCTCCTCCACGCTACAAACCCACTCCCTTCTAGTACTGAGATATTACCTAGTTGGGTAATGAGACGACTGCAATAAAACCACGAAGCTCAGAGAGCACCAAGGACCCCACAGTTCCTCCTCTTCCTCCTTGCAAGCCCCACTCCCTTCTAACATTGATGGTGCCACCTAGCTGGGTCATGAAACATCTGCAAGGAAACCACCCAGCTCAGAGACCACCAAGGACCTCACAGTCCTCCTCCTCCTCCAATCCCAGGGACCCTCCAGCCCTTTTCCTCCTCTTCCCCCTCCTTCCTCTCCCAAAAACCCACTCCCTCCTAGCACTGAAGAAGTAACCTAGTTGGGTTATGAAATGTCTGCAAGGAAACCCACCAACCTCAGAGACCACCAAGGACCCCACAGTTCCTCCTCCCTGTAAACCCCACTTCCTTCTAACACTGATAATGTAACCTAGTTGGGACACAAAATGTCTGTAAGAAAACCAACCAAGCTCAGAGAGCACCAAAGACTCCCACAGTTCCTCCTCCTTTCTAGCACTGATGATGTTCCCTAGTTGGGTCATAAAATGTCTGCAAGAAACCCACCAAGAAAGCATCAAGGACCCCACAATCCTCCTCCTCCTCTCCACAAGCCCCTCTCCCTTCTAGCATGATATTGATATTCCCTAATTGGGTAATAAAAAGTCTTCAAGTAAACTACCCTGCTCAGGAAGAACCAGGACCCCAGTGTCTTCCTCCTCCTTTTCTAGCCCTGATGCTGTTACCTAGCTGGATCATGAAACGTCTCCAAGAAAACAACCAAGCTCATGGTGACTTTGGGACTTTGGGAAACTATTTTTTGAAAAAACTAAAAACATTTGGGTTGTTTAAAAAAAAATCTTACAATGGCACTGTCGGTTGAAGAATTGAAAATGGAACTCAAAAAGCTAAAAGAAGAGGAACAAGAAGGCAGGGGCTCTTCTGGATCTGTTTTTCACTTCTTAGAAATGGCGATTTCTACCTACCAGGAATTACAACAACAGGAAGGCTGGGATGAAGAAGAAGAAGCCGTCTTTAATGAACAAATAATTTTAGTTGAGGAAGAAAAGGGAAAGAGGGGAAAGAGAATGGAGAATACAAGATTTAAAAAAACAACCAAGAAAGGGAAAAATAAGGGTGAAAAATCGATATAATGTCAGAAAGCAACAGAAAAGAGGAATACAACAGAGAGGGGAGACTAAGCAGGCGGAGATTAAAAGATGGTGGGGTAAAAAGGCTAGATTCAACAAGAAAGGAAGGAAAAAGGGGAAGAGAAGTTATAAAGGTTTGAAACAAGATTTTAAAAAACAGGTTTTTTTCAGAGATAAAGGGTAAAATACAATTTAAAAAGATTCTGCAAAAGTACGTAAGATTGTATTGTAGTATTTGTATTTGAAATAGAGTTAGAAAATTGGAATATTATATGAGTTAATAAAATATTAAAGGGAATGTGTAAAATGTCTAAGATTTAATGAGAGAGTTTAATTTGCTATGGAACATTGTTTTAACTATATTATAAACTTATTATTTTCTTATTTTAAAATGTAGAACGTAGAATGTACTAAGCAGAATCAGAATGGAAATTATATATTATTTTAAGTGTTAAATTTAGGGGAAAGATAGAAAGGCGTCACACTTCAACCAGTGATTACAGGAGAAATTTTGTATTAAAGAGAAAAGATAAATAGATAACTGAAAAAGAACAGACAAAAGATACAAGTATAATGATTTAAATTGAGATGAAATAAAATAGAATTAAGAGAGTGAAAAGAGGGGAGAAGACATATAGAAAATATAGAATGTTAAATAAGATATGAAATGGTATATAAGGTGAGCATGAATTTGATTTATGTCTGTACAAAAAGATGTAACCCGGGGCTAAGCCACTTTCCAAAAAGAAGTTTTATGTTTTCATGTTTTGTGTATTGTTTGTTGATGTTTGTTTATTGAAAATTAATAAAATTTTGGAAGAATGTTGGAAGAGAACATATGAAATTGTAAACAAGACAGACGAAAGTATAAGTACAATGAATAAAAAGATATAGAAATCTAAGTAAAAGAAATATAATTGAATAAGAAGAAAATGAGATAACCATAAAAGAAAATTAAGAGAAGTAAAGGGAGAAATAGTGAGAAGTTGGAAAAAGAGTAATAAGATATGAAGTTGAATACATAAGATGAATATGCATATGAAATTGTGTCTGTATGGAAATGTGATAACCTGGAACTATGCTGTACTCAGATAAGATGTTTTATTTGTTTTGTTAAAACTTAATAAGCAGCTTTCAGAAAAGATGTTTTATGTTTTATTTGTTTGTGTATTGTCTTTGAAAATTAATAAAAAAAATTTTTTTAAAAAGAAAACAACCAAGCTCAGAGAGCACCAAGGACCGCTCAGTCCTTTTCTTCTTCTTCTTCCTCCCCTTCCTCCTCCTTACAAACCCCCCTCCCATCTAGCCCTGATCAGGTTCACTAATCGGGTCAAGAGAAAGCAAAACTACCAAGCAAAGGATTTTACTGCCTATAAAAAGCCCTCCTGCCCAGAGGAACTATTGATAGGTAGGTAGGTAGGTAGGTAGGAAGGAAGGAAGGAAGGAAGGAAGGAGAAGGAAGGAAGTAAGGAAAAGAAAGAAAAGAGAGAAAGACAATGGAAAGAGAAAGAAAAAATGAAAGAAATGAGAGAAAAAGAAAAAGAGAAGGAAATGAGAGATAGAGAAAGAAAGAGAAAGAAATGAGAGAAAAAGAGAAAGAAAAAAGAAAAAATGAGAGAAAGAGAGAATGGAAAGAAAAAGAGAAACGAGGAGAAAGAATGAGAGAAAGAAAGAAAAAGAAAAAAGGAGAGAAAAGGAGGAAAAAAGAGAAAAAATGAAAGAGAGAAGAGAATGAGAAGAAAAAAGGGAGAGAAAGAGAAAGAGAGAAAGAAAAAAAGAAAGGAGAGAGAAAACGAAAGAAAGAGAAAGAAAAGGAGAGAGAGAGAAACACCCCTCTCCACCCTCCCTCCCCGCACTCTGCACGTCCTCAGAGGCGCCCTTGCCTTGCCGGCCTCTACTCACGGTGCGGGCCTGCCGTCGCAGCAGGTACAGCAGGAAGCTCCAGAGCTTGGCGGCGAAGGCAAGGAAGGCCCGGATGCCAAGCAGGCACTGCGAGCGCATCATCCCGCCGGCGGGGTCCGCCGCGCCCCCGGCCCGGCCAAGCTCCGCCAGTTTCCAGCGGGGGGACGGAAGAGGAGGAAGACGGCAGGGCCCTCCCGTCAGCCCGTGCCCCACGCGGGCCCCGCCATCCCGCCTCCGCGCCTCCTCTCCCTTCCTCGGTCGCCCGTTCGCTCGTTCTCCCGCCTGAGGGGGAAAAACGCTACATCCGCTCCGCCGACGCTCGCCCCCGCTTCAGAGGGACACTTCCGGAGCAACCGACCGAGCGCCCATCGTCTACTTCCGGGTCGCCGTGGGAAAGGAGGCACGTCCAATTAAAAGGTGAGGGTGGAGGAGGAGGCGGGGCTGGGAGGAAGTCGCGCATGCCACCCTGGGCTTTATTATTAAAAAAAAAAAAAAAGTGGCCGTCGAGGAATTTTAAAAGCGGGAGGATGGGAGCCCGGGAAGACAGCGCGCGGCATGGACGGGTATGCGCCTTCAAGACCAAAAAAGAATAAAACCCCATCAGCGGAAACGCATGCGCGGAAAGTTCCCGCTTTATTTTTTCCTCTCACAAAAGTTGAAATGCAAAAAAAAAAATCGATTTAAATACAAAAATGAAGTCAAAGCATTCGCCAGTTTTTATTTCCTGCTTCTTTTCTGGAGAAGCCGCGAAAAAGAACCGACTGTGGGGAAATGAAAAAAAGCGGGCTGGGTTGCGGTTTTTTTTTTTTGGATACGGATTCAGGGACGGTGGGCAACACTGCAGGGTTGTTGTGAAGTGGGGTTTTTTTTTTTTCCCCCTCAATGATTAGCAAGGAGGGTGTCTTGTTTTTTTTATTCTTCTTTTCGGTCCTGGAGTCATTATGCAGCTGTCCCAAAGCTGTCAGGGTTTCAGGCCTTTAAATCTGGTTATTAAGAGTTTGTGCGTTGGGCATCCTTGCAATTTTTGCTTTTTGTCTGTCTGTCTATCTATCTATCTATCTATCTATCTATCTATCTATCTATCTATCTATCTTTGGGGCATTCAGCTTTGTTCAGGTACTTTCCCACATTATAGTTGTGCTTTTAAAGTTGTAGCAATGTTTCGGCAGAATCTCAGGCTTCTGTATTGTGTTCGTCTATTATATATTATACTATATATACTATATATTATACATACAAACCGCTATCTATACGCACTCTCACACCACCACCCAGCACAGATCAATTCCGTAGCTGAGACACTCATCTCCAGGACGAAATGCTTAGCTGACGAACAACACCTAGTGACCAAACTACACACTCTCACCGGTGTGCTGACAGCCAATGGATTCCAAAGAAAGAAGATTACCCACCTAATCCAAAAAGAAACCCCAACCAAAATCCAAGACAGAGAACAAGACAATGGCAAAGCCCTCCTCCCATATATAAAAGGCACTACAGACAAAATCAGCAAGATCCTCCAAAAATACAACATTAAAACAGCATTCTGCACAAACAGAAAGATATCCACCATCCTAAGAAACCCTAAGGACAAAATCGAGTTAGAAAACCAAGGAGTATACGAAATCCCTTGCACTGCCTGCCCCACCACATACATTGGACAAACTAACAGAAGAATAAGTGCACGCATTAAAGAACATAAGAACTCAATCAAAAAAGAAGAACCGACCTCTTCCCTGGTCCAACACCTCAAAGCCACAGGACATGAGATTGACTTTAGAAATACCAGAACTATCGCCAAAACTGAACACTCCAGCAGCAGAATAATCAGAGAAGCCATAGAGATAGAAAAACGCCCACACAGCATGAATAAACGAGATGACACCTCCCACCTACCAGCCATTTGGAAACCCGCCCCCATGAACAGACGAGTACCTAACATGAAGAATGACACCAGACCCACACCCATGAGGGCCACACAAGATGCCACCACCACACTTCCACGTAGAAAACAGACTCACACCCACACAGAAGATGAGACACGACCACGGACCAGAAGCCGCACTGCAGCTGCATCACTACCCACTTCAATCCCCTCCGAGCCATACATGAAGCAAACCGACACCCACCATGAAGATGCGGCACGACCACAAACTCGAAGCCAAACAGCAAGATCACAGCTCACCAACTCAAATCCCCCAGCAACTAAGACTAACCTGAGCACAACCAAGGCCCCACCTGAACAGAACACGCCTCCAGCCAATCAGAACACGGCCAACCCCCCAACCAATCAGAACACAGCCAAGCCCCCACCCAATCAAGTCACACCCCCACTAGCAGTTAAAAGGAAGAAGCAGCTGCAAGCTCACATCACTCTGAGAAGCACAGAGCTGAAGACACAAGCCTGAAGATGATGAATGAGACTTCATCGAAACGTTGCCTAGATACTTCCAATCTTACGCGGGAGAAAACCCGAATAACCAAAGATCCACTATATACTATAGTATATACTATATACTATGCTATATTAGAAACACCAATCAAGCAGAACACAGCAAACTCCAAGACCAATAAACACAGACCAAGACTCCCAACCAATCAGGATGAAGAAAAAACCATTCTGGCACAGCAGTAGGCTAGCCCCAAATTTAAAACAGAAACGGCTGTGAAAGTCTGACTCACAGACGAACACAATACAGAAGCCTGATGATGGCAGATGAGATTCTGCCGAAACGTTGCTACAACTTTAAAAGCACAACTATAATGACGTGGGAAAATACCTGAACAAAGCTGAATAACATACATGTAAGTACCCGCGAAAACTTAAGTAGCATGGTAGCATGTATTTCAGTATTTGAGGGGCTGCCCCAAAGAAGAAGAGGGGGTCAATCTATTATCCAAAGCACCAGAGGACAAGACAAGAAACAACTGATGGATACTAACCAAGGAGAGAAGCAACCAGGAAATAAGGAGAAAGTTCCTAACAGTGAGGACAATTAACCAGTGGAACTGCTTGCCACCAGAAGTTGTGGGTGCTCCATCACTGGAGGTTCTCAAGAAGAGACTGGACAGCGGAGTTCCGGTCTGCAGCGCTTCGGGGCAGACAGGAATCCGCGACTGTGCGTGGTTTCTGCCTGTGCTCGCTGCCCGAGTGCCCTGAGCCACTCAGCTTCAGGGCTAGCCACCTCCGTAGAAGGTGGCGAAGACAGGGGGGACCTGGCAGGGTCAAGAGATATCGCACCTCTCTTCCCTAGCCGGCTAAACCCCCTTTTCCGAAGGCAGCTGAGCGGTGGTCAGAAATGGCCACCACATAGAAGCGCTCAGCCAGAAAAAGAAAGTGCAGGAGGAGCTGTGAAGAAGTGAAAGTGTTTTTTGCTGACTGGGATAAAGTAACAGCGAAAGTACCTTGGAACTTAAAATTTGCCAAAGATACATTGTTTCCAGAGATTTACAAGCGGCGAATGGAAGTTTAAAAGGGAAAGTTTTTCTTTCTTTTCACTCTCCTTCCTAACGTGACAGCGAATAGAACCGCAAGAGAAATCGGAAAACCCGCATTGGAGGTAATTATATGCTAAAGGGATAAGGATTTCTGAACATTAAAAAAAAAACCTTTTTTGCTGTAAGTGGGAAGGGAGAGGAAAAAAAATTGGAGCAGAATTTGAAAGTAAGGAGGAGATTGCCTAGAATTTTAAAGAGCTATTAAATATTAACAAGACTTCTAAAAGATACATTTTAACTGGAACTTTGTGACTAAACAGTAACCCCAGAAAGAGAAAGGGAAGAAAGAAGAAAGTACTAAAAGAAACAGCTTATTTGGATTGTTTGGTGATTTTGGAACTTTTGGGAACTATCTTTGATTAAAAGCACTTGGGTGGTTGTTTTGGAAAAACTTTTTCTCTCTACAATGGCATCACTTGTGGATGAATTGAAAATTGAATACCAAAAATACAAAAAAGAAGAACAAGAAGGGAAAGATTCTCTTGGCACTCTTTTTCAATTTTTAGAAATGGCGGTTTGTACTTATGAAAAGCTTGCTGCGCAACAGGATGACTGGGATAAAGAAGAAGTCATCTTTGATGAACAAGTGACTCTATTTGGGGAAGGAAAGGAGAAAGAGGAAAAGAAAAAGGGGACTTTAAGATTTGAAAAAACAACCAAA